TGTTCCCAAACAGCCCTGGGAGAGAACAGTCCCCCCTGTGGGCTCTGGCTGCTGTCCCACACCCTGGGTTATAACTTTCCTGGTATCAAAGGGACATTTATCCTCCCCTCACCAAACATCTAGATGTCAACAGCTTGAGGGCAAGAACTGTGTCTTGCTTAAGTCCACACCGTCTGCCTCACTGAGGACGTGGTCCACCTTCAAGACAGGCTGTCAGATGGAATAAGGCATAGCTGGCTGCCTCTTAGGTGTTGGTTTATGAAGGCGAAAGAAGACAGTGGAATTGCCTTCCCCTTCCTGCTGCCCAGCTGAGTTGGACTAGGACTTATCCATTGGACAAGCCCACCCTAAAAATGCTACTAGACATTGCAGCAAATATCATCCCGCACTAGTGTCAGAGACTGGACTTTGTCGTCTTATTATGGGGATACGTATTCATTTTCCCTTAAAAAAAAAAAAAACACAACAAAAACAGGTACACGATACAGTGCCGGTATTTATCTTAGGAAATCCAAAAATACAAAATAAGTGTCGTGATAGATGATCATGCACAGCCCCGTCTCCAAGCATCACCTGCTCCTCACACTTTATCCCTCCTCTCTGCTTTATGTGCTGATTTCTTTCTTGGAATAGTAATGTAAAGATCACTCAGAATAAAATGAATATTTAACCTATTATTTTTAAAAGAGAGTCTAAAACTCGTCCTATCGTGTGCGTCAGGAAAAGAGGTAAATCCTGGTGTATAGACTTGTCCCTGGGTGAGTGGGGAAGATGAATAAAAGGGGGTCCTGGGGACCCCATGGGGTATGGAGCAGAAACCTGTCACCTGTGCTCCTGGGTCAACCTGCCCAGGGACCTTTCTTTTTTCCCTTGGATGCCATTTTAACTTTTTTTTTTTTTTTGGAAGGAAAAATAGACTGTGGCAAAAGCTCAGAGCAGTGGTTTTCAATCAGAGTGATTCTGCCCTACCCCTCTCTCCAAGAAAGTTGGGCAATGTCTGGAGTCACTTTTGATTGTTAATACCAGAGGCTGGTGCTACTGGTATTTGGTGGTAGAGACCAGGGATGTGGCCAAACATTCTGAAATGCCCAGCGCAGCCCCACACCACAAAAATCCTGCCCCCAAATGGTGATAGTGCCAAGACGGAGAACTCCTAATTTTTATTTTATTTTTTCCATAAAAGACAAGGAAGCACTTGGCAATCGTGCAGGGAACAGAAAGGGCTACAAAAATATTGATTGTAATATGTCTTACTCATCCATTGAGATGTTAGTTTGAAAACCCTTCTCCAAGTCTGGAATCCATCCAGGAGATTAAGGATGCTAAAGGTTTTTTTTTATCAGTGATCAGTGTTTTGTGCTTTTTCAAAAGGTCAAGAGTTGTCATAAGAAAGGGCAGAAACACTTCCATGCAAATCATACTTGAAATGATCCCAAGTAGATTTTAACAACGAAGTTTATTAAAACCAGTGCTGCAAATAGCCAGGTAGTTTTTAATCCAGGGTCAAAGCTGAGGAGACAGGGTTGGGGGAGAAGATAAATAATGGAGCTTCTTTCTAGCTTTATGCTGTTGAGTTTTTGTTCTGTGTTTTTTGGGGTTTTTTTAACTCAATGAGTGCCTTTGTGTTGGGGCTGGTACCTCTTTGTGTTGGCCTTCCGCTTCAGAATGACTAGCCAGTGCAGGGTGCCTAGGTGTCACTATGTACCTGTGACACTGACCCCACTGTTTATTTTAAGTTTATTGTATTTTTACAAATACTAAGTACTTTGAGGGAACGTGAAGAAGGAAAGGCGTGTTGTGATGGCTTTCCTGAGTGGGTGGGATGGCCATCACCAAATTCAGTCGGTTAGGAAAGAGGTGGGCTGCACTTGAAGGCCAAGGAGCTGAGCACAGGACCTGGAATTCTCTCTCTCCTTCGTCTCCCTCCTCCGCCTGTCCCTCCTCCACCATCCTCTCCTTCCTCCTCTTCCCCCTCCTCCTCTTCCTCCTCTTCTCCCTCCTCCTCCTCCTCCTCCTTCTCACAACTCAGTCAGTGAACCAGCGTTTTATGTGCTACTTCACAGACATGCAGGGAATTAACAGCTTGGTAGGAATTAGGGAAGGGGAGAGGATCTAGATTGAATAGCCCAGTTGCCTGCAGTTTAGATGCTGACAAGAAACCAGCAGTTTTTCCTGAGGAACATGTGGAACATGTCAGGAGGGGGCGGGGAAGGACAGTTAGCCTGCTTCTTAAATAAGACCTCATAGATGGCACCATATTAATTTTAATCATTTAATTAAAAATGCTCTTCTTCTTCACTGCCCGTCAGTAAATTATACAGGTATTCATCAGGGCCATGCTTGGCGGGAAAGCAGTATCTCTGACATGGAGCTCACCAACGGGAGGTCTCCCTTTCGCCTCTCCTGACTGTACCACGGACAGTCTTACTGCCCTGTCAATCATCCTAGGCCTGTGGTCCAAAGTTGTCCACAGGGTGGTAGCTTGTCATGATTCTGGGAGCCAGAGGCCTGCCAAGGAGTTAGCTGGGCAGGTCATACCCAACACAAAAGGATTCTCCCTCTGGGGGCTGCAGACTCTCCATGGATTGTTGTTCCATAACTCTGGGCTTTTCCACAGTGTCTGTATCTTGTCCTCTTTGGTCTCCAGTAAGATGCTTGTCATTGGATTTAGGGTCCTCCTGGATACTCCAGGACAATATCATCTTGAAATCCTTAACTTAGTCACATCAACAAAAGAATTTTTTTTTTCCAAATAATATTACATTCCTAGGTTCCTAGGATTTGGACATAGACATATCTTTTTAGGGCCACTATTCATAGATAGATGCCTATAGAGAGATGTCGGTCATCTATCTATCTTTTATCTACCTGTCTTAGTCTCCTTTTTTTTTTTTAATGTTCTAGAATGTTATATACACAGTAGTTACTAGTAACTGTTGAATGGATTTTAAAGTGGCCCAAATTAATGTCTGCACCGATGGTCCCACCTTGTTTCAAAAATGTCCTACCATCCCTTCTAAGGAACATGCGAACAGACTCTCAGACCTTGCAAAGCAATTGTGTGTTTTAGATTAAAGATGGAAAATCTAGTAGGCACACCCAAAGGAAGAGCTGTCAGTAAATTGAACTGTTATTATAACCTGTGAGATTGCTGTTCTTCTGGCGTTGATCCTTGGGCTGCAATTAACTTCCTGGGTGTTCTTGAGGATTACTAGCTTCCAGCAAGGTATATATATATCTCCCTCCATTGAATTCACCTTATTTACCCTTTATTAATTTAGGTGCCTTCAAAGAGAGAGAGAGAGAAAAACTTGATCCCAGCTTTAAAAATAGGGGGAAGAAATTATAGTACTAACAGGCTTGCTCTTATTTGATTCACTGAAATTGAGTCAGTCCTAGATAGAACAAGGACAGGCATTGACCATGTTCTCGGTTGGTTCTGGAAGCAGTATAGTGGAGAGGAAGGGGGCCTGGGGGCTGTAAGGAGACCCAGTCAGGAGACCTAGTGAGTTCTAGACCTAGACACCCGGACCTGTCTCCATGGCCCTCTGTGTGACTTTGGACAAGACACTTCATTTCTCTGGGCTGCAAAGTGGAAGCCTCAATCTCTCACCTTTTTAGAAGTCAGATGGGTTGGACCAATGGTGTCCATCCATGATCTGGAGTGTCATGGCGCCCACTCTTTCCAGACTGTTCCTTCACTCAGCCCTCAGAGTTTTCTCTACGATGAGAAATCTGGAGTTGGTTCAGAATTAAGAAACAGTGGTGTGTCTTTGTTTCTCTCTCTGTTCACCTGCTCGCAGCGGAAAGCTACAAGGAAACGCGGACGGTGAAGATTAAAGAGGAACCCATGGAGGTTGATGTCCAGGACGCCCCCGTCTCCATATCACCCAGCCGGAACGCTGGCTACAGCACTTTAATCGGGCGAGAGAAAACCGAACCCTTACAGAAGATGCCGGAGGGCAGGGTACCCCCAGAGAGGAACCTCTTCAGCCAGGACATCTCTGTGAAGATGGCTTCCGAGCTCCTCTTTCAACTGTCGGGTATGTTGGGGTGAGGGGGAAAAAAGTCGGAACATTTGAAATCATGGGGAGGAAGGCCCTTTTAACAAGGAAATAAATAAATGAATAAAAAGGAAAAAAAGAGAAGCCAACCCACATATGATAGGAAGTTTTAGACAGAAGTCAATTTTGTTACTTTAACACCCAGACTGCCACCCAAATGAGCAGTTAATAAAGCACTGCCAATTAGAATTCCTGCCAGACTTTCTTTAGTAAATAGTTAAAAAATCTTTTGAAATGAGAACTCCGCAATTTGGTGCAAATGATCCAGGCTAAAAAAAAAAAAAAACCTTACCTCTGATTTTGATTTGGTTTGTTGATCGGATTAACAGCCATTTTATTTTTTCCTACTGTGCCAAAGACACACTGACGTTTGCCCCAGTGTTGACTGAACTTCCATGAACTCCAAGTTAGTGGGGTCTGCCTTGATGAGATCGTATTATAACTTGCTAAACAGAAATCAAAAAGAGGAAGACTGCTTCCAGGTAGAGCCTAAGAGAGTATTTCCTGTAAGGCAACTTTTTCTACTTTGAATACTTTCAATCCAAAGTGCAGGAATGGTCAGCCCAGTGACGTGTCTGGATGAAGTAGTTGGGAGTCCCAGCACCTAAGCCGACCCTCTCTGCAGCTCTTTTCAAGCCACACACCATTTGTCCCTAACAAATTTAATATGCAGTCATTCTTTGAACACGAATGGCACTGATACATACACTGAGAAGACTCAGATTATGATAGAAACATTATTTAATTAGCTTCTAAATACACAAAAGTCCATAGTCCAGCAATGACCTACACTTTGAAGTTTATGCATCAGTAGAACTTGTTTGATAAACTGTTTTGTTATGGGTAACAAAACATCCACTAAATTCTTTATTTTTTTTAAATTATTTTTTATAGTTGGTAGATGGACAGAATGCTTTTATTTTATTTGTTCATTTTTATGTGGTGCTAATGATCAAACCCAATGTGCCAGGTGAGAGTGCTCGCTGCTGAGCCACAACCCCAGCCCTAAATCCCGCATTATTTAAGTGTTCATTGACTTTCCTCCCTACAAAAAACACAGGAAAGAATCTGTGTTCCTCCGTGGTGGTTCGCTTTCTCCTTGGCCTGGAGACAACTCCTAGCTGGGTAACTACCAGATCGTGCTGAAAATGGTGGCCCCCAGCTTCTCCAACAAGGGCTGTTTTTGCTCAGCTCTCTTCATTATTGGAAATCACCAGTTTGATACATTTAATAGGACACGGTCTTTACAAGCTCCAAAACCATGTGATTTTTTTTTTTTTTTTTAAGTCTGAGACATATCTGAAAACAGTATCACTTTGACCATGATTAACATCATTGGAGAGTTAAAATTAGCAAAAGTGAGACCTGTGTGGTTCTTTTCAGAAAGTCTCTGACAGTACATTATCACAGTCTCCTATCGGCTCAAAACTCCGTGTCTGAGAGTTCTCACCCTGGCGCTGTCACGGACCTCAGACAAGTCACTTAGCCCTGACTTCCTGCTCTGCAAGAACACTGGCTGGCATTCCCAGTTCACCCTTGTCATTGTTGAATAGACAGAAAGGGATTGTCGACGTAAACACACGTACTGTGGCTTCAGACTAGTATTACAAAGTGTGGGACAGATGTCGTAAACCTTGGTTTACATTTTTCTGAAACCCCACAGGATCGGGAGTTTGTTCCTGGTCCTGCCGTTGAAATCTGAGACCCTCCTAGAGCTAGCCATGGATTCTCCAGCTGCTTAAAGGAAGCCATTGAGAGCTGCCGTGGACCTGGTAGAATCCTCCCATTTGAACTGGATTGAGAAAGCCAGAGATCAACCTTTGTGTTCTTAGAAGCTAATTAAATAATTTCTGACAGCTGGGAGATTCAGACCCCCAAGACCCAGGAAGGGAGGGTGTCCCTCTTCGTGTCTAATGATCTGTTTTTGTCCATGGTGACATTTATCAGAATCAGCAGTCGATGACTGCGGCACCGAGAGGTCTTCTAGCTGTTTTTATATCCCCGCTCACAAAGGGGCCTGACAATACAGAATGCGTAAAGGTTGTCATCAAAGCCAGGGGCAGAACAGTTGCAACAATTGCAGTTTTCATGCTGAATCAGAGGAAAGCAGAAATTTTCGGCTGGGGAAAGACAGAGTAGACTTCATTGTCTCTGCGTACGTGTCACTGTGGGTGGGGAGAGTGCGTGCTCACCGGGGCCGATGGGAATCAGACATCGCACCTGAAACTTACTCACTTGTCCCCTTTGATGGGTTTTCCAATAAAATTCTTCCTGTGGGTTCTGTCTGTGCACTTTGGAGGCATCTTGCTCAGTGAGACAGGGAGGGTTTGAATGTTGCAAAAGGAAACCCAAAGGAAGCCACAAGAGACAAAGAGAAGCTGGGCTGTTTTCTGCTGAACGACGGAAGCTCCGTGAACACAACCTAAGAGATGTACGTTTCATTCTTTCTCCTTCCAGAAAAAGTGAGCAAAGAGCACAATCACACGAAGGAAAACACCATCCGGACGACCACCAGGTAGGCCACTTTGGGTGGGGTCCCCTCAGAGCGCCCTTGTGGGTGGGGCCTCAGGCCGGGCTGCACTTGACCTTGGCCCAGACTTGCTTCCTCCAGGGCTCCAGGAGCCACACCCCTTCCACCTGGTTCCACCAGAAACTCTCAGTTGGTGGGAACAACACAGAAACCAAGGACAACAAGGGAAAGACCCTTAATGTTTGTGAAACATCCTCTCACCTTGCTGGGAATTTTCCATGTTATCATTTCTTCCAGTAATTTTGTGATGTACATATTATTATCAGCATGGCAGAATTTTTTTATTCTTTTTTTTTTTGTACTAGAATTAAACCCGAGACCTCATGATGCATCCTAAGCACATGATACATGGGCTACACTGCCGGCTAACAGAAGTTTGTTGACTTGGGAGTTTAAATGGGTGGCAAGGCTGAGATCGGCGGTGGGGTCTGTAGCTCCTGAATTCTCACACCCTGTCATAAACGAAGGTTTATGACATCTGTCCTTATTGCAGCTCTGCTCCTTGCTGTTTGGCTGATGATTTGTCATCAAGGATATCACACTTTTACCTCCGTAGCATTAGGTGGAGGGCAAGAGTTTTTCAAGCAAAAGAAAGAGAATACTTTAAAACGTTGCAAGAACCGAGTGTGGTGCCAACTGCTCAGGAGGCTGAAACAGGAGGATCACTCGAGACCGGGAGTCCAGGGCCTGTCTGGGCAGCACAGGGAGAGCTTGTATCAGAAATAAATTACTTTTGGCCAGGGACGGTGGCCCACATCTGTAATCCCAGTGGCGTGGGAGGAACTCGAGTTCAAAGCCAGCCTCAGCAACTTAGGAAGGTCCTGAGCAACTCAGCGAGACCCTATCTCTAGTAAAATATAAGAAAGGACTGGGGATGTGGCTCAGTAGGTAAGTGTTCCTGGATTCAATTCCCAGTACCAAAAACTAATAATTAATTAAATAATCAAAGCTCTAAGAAAATCAGTATTATCAACACTTAGGGGCAAGGAAGTTTTCTATTTGGAAAATGCAGTTCAAGGAGGTAGCTAGTGTTGGCTGCCCATCCTTCTGCCATGAGGAAAAGAGGAGGGCCAGCCAGTGTGGATGGACAGATGGGGTTTAAAGGCCACCCAGAAGTGCCAGAGGCAAGAACCAACCATCCAGTCCCCTGCCACAAACACACACGCTGTGGAAAAGGAGATC